TTCCTGCTCCTTCTAAGCTCTCGTGAACCCGCAGCGGGCCAAAAGAGGGGTAACCCTTTCCAGGATGGCTGGCTAAGCCGGGTGAGTGTGTCCTCACCGCTTTCCGGGACACCTCCAACGTGTGTTTTCTCCTTGGGGCCTCTGCTTTGCAAATGGATGGGATGAATTTAGGGAAAAGAAGGATGTGGAGGGGTGGTCCTCTTTCCTCCTCGTCTGTGCAGATGGGGGACGTGAATGCTGCTGGACCACGGGTGATCTAGCCAAGAAGCCTTGATGGCTGCCACTCGCCTGGGTGATAAAGAAACCATTTCTCATTCTCTACCAGCAAGGAGCTGGTGTTGACCATGATTTTCACCCTGGACCCAAGCTCACAAATCCTGCCTGTGCCTTTCAGCCCTCCTAAGGGGCACGTGTCCTTACTGGGGGGAGCCGCAATCCCACCAGCATCTTCCCCGTGTAGTCAGCAAAGGGTGTTACCGAATCCCAGCTGGGACGGGGGAGCTATAAAGCCACTTCATGTTACCCTTTAGCAGTGGCCATGGGGCCTCGGGGGTCCCCAGCCCTACTTTGAGAACTGCAGGGTGATAACAAAAACGGTGCCGGTTGAGTTTAGCCTCTTCTGCTCACACTCGGCCTAAAAAAAAGAGCCTTTCATCTTCCCTGCTTAGCTCGTGGCTTCAAGCGATTCGGTTGGTGGTTTATGCTGATGCTTTTCAGTTCCTGGCTTGCTCCTGAATTTTCTGCCGGGGCCTGCTGGTCCTTTGATGTGTCACTTGTCACTCCAGCCGGGCCGCTGGTGACACGACCCGCGCGGCACCGAGCAGAGCGCCAAAGCTGCCCCAAGTGCTCACCAAGAAGTCCCCCCCGGGGTCCCCCGGTGAAAAGGCACGTCCCCTTGAGTGGTCTGCAGCCTCGAGCTGGAGCTCAGGTAGCAGATGCCGGAGCTGGTTCCAGCTGCACCAAGGAGCTCATCCAAAAACCAGCGTCCTCCAACACACCGGGTGAGCCACAGCAAGAAGAAACTGGGATTTTTCTCCTCCGGGTGGCCTGAGGCCCCCTGCTAGGCAGTGCTCCTGCCAACGGTGGTAACTCATCGTGGGGTTTTTTGGGCTCTCTCAGGGGAGTAGGGAGCAAAAGGCTGAGGGGCCAGGAGCCTGGGGTCCCTGGGATCTGCAAGGCTCACCGAGAAGCAGGTAGTGATGGCGATGAAGACGATGCAGGGGGTGAATCATGCAGGGAACGGGGTGGGGAAAGTGCCCGGGGCTCTCCTGGGCTGAAAATAAAAACAACCCCTAACTGCAAAAGGGCAGTGACAGAAACCAGCGGCTGGGACGGCAAACCGCGTCCAGAAGACAAGGGCGAGCTGACCGGGAGCAGTTTGCTGGCTACGTGCTCCCCCACGAACCCCGCTCTGGTGCAGAGGATGAGGAAGGCGCAAGGGCAGCCACGTCCCGCAGCATCTGCCCGAATTATCCATTCAGCCCTGCTCCGGCTGCCAGGGATGCCGGCTAGCGCTCTCCCAAGCTGCTGAGACAAGCTGCTGTCTGCAAACGACCCTGGAAACCTGCACTTCTCCCTCTTTTTTGCCCCGTAACAGCACTTAAGCGCTCCCTTTCGCGCATTAAAACGTGGCTGCGTCGTGTTATCCCCCTCTCAGCGGCCGGGGAAGCTGGGGCACAGAAAGGCAGCGTTGGTTTGCAGAGCGGGTCGGTGGCAGAGCGAAGCCTGGATCGCTCCAGCTTCCCAGTCTGTGCCCTGCAGCTTTCCTACACCCCTTCCTGCCCTGCCTGCCCTGCCGGGCCAGGAGGAGGACGCCGGGTCCTCGGGTGTGGTGATGGCTGGGGACAATTCACATTCACCGTCAGCTCATGATTTCCATACCTGCTTGAATACCAGCTCCTGATTTCATTTCCGTACCTGTTTGAAAATAAAGCAAGTGTCCACAGCCTGGCACAGCCCAAGCGCACGCACGTCAAGTCTTCCTGAGCGCTCAGCCCCCTGCTCCGCAGCGCAGGGATGGCCCCGTGAAGGGGATTTGTCCTCTGCCACCCTACGGTGTCCCCCTGCCCGGGGCAGGGATGTCCCCTCGCCTCGCCTAGCGGGGATGCTGGCCTCTGGGACGCGGAGCCGGGCTGTGCGCTCGGGATGCTGCGGCGTTTTTCCGACCCGGCCCGGCCGACCCTCCGCCGGGACCCAGGCTTGCCGCCGAGCGCTCCCGCTGACTGGCAGACGACCTGGAAAAACCACTGGCTCTGTTTGCATTGGAAGAAGCCCAAGGCTAATTTTAAGGGGTTCATTTAGCTCTGATTTAATCTGGACGGCGGCCTCGCCTATAAATCACGGCTTAATGAGAACAATCCACCTGCCTGCCCTGGCATTTAATAAAATAGAAGAGAACTGGAGGCCCTCCAGGAGCTAAGCGTTCCTCACAAAAGCCATCACCCTCCCTTGCTACGGAGAGCCCTGGGAGTGGAAATCCCCTGGCTTTCCCCTGAGAATCGCTCGAGGTGCCTTCGGGGCCGGGTGGGTAAGCCCAGCCCCGCAAAACACGCGCTGGCGTCGTGGCCGGTGGCCTGAGGCGGAGGGTTGCCACCAGCCCGAACGCCTTCCTCCCGCTCACTCCCATCTCCGTGGAGCAGCGGGATGCGGTAGGAGCAGCCGTTCCTGGTTCTCCAAGGCTACAAACGATCCTCTGGGCTCTGGCATCACCTTGGGCCACGGGGCAGGGAGCGAGGGGCGCAGGACCGGCCCACGCCCTCCAGCTTCAGCGGGACGGGCAAAACGGGGCAACACCACATCAAGCGGAGACTTCGCAGGGCTTGTCCCACCTCTTGACCCTCTGCCAGGACGAGGCCCCCCCCAAGGAAGCGCTCCTACGGCTAGCTAGCACAGCAGGAACATTTTCACCATCCTTCCCCGAGTTCCTTTTGGACATCCCAAGAGTTTTTCCGAGCACCTCCTGCCTCTCACAGCGTCTCCTCGCTCTTACAGCCCGGCCAGGTGCTAATTCCCACTGCCCAACGGCCCCCACCGGCTCCTCGGCGATGCCCACCTTGCTCTTTGAGCCGGATGATCTCCGTGTCGGAGCCGAAGCTGTTCCAGGCAGTGCAGTTGTAAATGGTTTGGAAATCAGCCCGGACAATGTTGCTGATGGTCAGCGTGGAGATGACGCCCTCGTCCGTGCTCACCGTCTCCACCGTGTAGCGCCCGGAGGTCCCAGACTCCAGGACGTTCTCCTTCCAGGACCAAGCCTGCCGAGCAAGAGAGGAGGGGTCAGCCTGGGGCAGGTTGGCCCACCGCAGGGCAAGCCACCCCCCACGGGACGCTACTCACGATTCGGTCCGGCGGCGGGGTGCTGCGGATGAAGCACTTGATCTGCCCTTTCTGGCCGTGCAGGGCGTGCTGCGTCTGGGTGCTGGAGATGATGGGTGGCCCTGCGAGAGAAGGGGAGAGGGCTGTTGGCATCTCACACGGGTGGCTGCAACGTGGGTTTTTTGGTGGGTTTGCTGGTTTTCTGCAAAGCCTCCACAAAGCGCTATAGGGACCTCCCCATCTCTGCTCCCGCATCCCCGGCGATGCCATCGCCCTGTGGAAATCCCCTTGGTGAACCCGGCCTCTGGAAAGGGACGGTTTGCTCCAGGAGCAAAGCAAGAGCCCAACCCACCTGGTGTTCCTCTCCCGGGGTTCGTTAAGCAACCAGGACACTAATTGCTCCCCAGGGGCTCAAGGAAGCGGTAGGAGGGCAGCAAGAGGCACCAAAAGGCACCTGCTACCTGCAAGCGACCTCCAACCAGCCTGCCCGCCGCGGGGGAGAAATTTCTGCTGGAAAAAATCTCGGGACCCCCATCAGCTGGGCTCTCTGGCACCATTCGGATGCCGAAGGAGCCCAGCGTGGCTAGCAAAGGTGATCCGAGGCCGAACGCCGGCGTGCGATGGGAAATGTCCTTGTCCTGCCTTGGTGGACATCCTGAAGACATGTCTGGGAGAAAAGGGGTGGGAGAGGAGAGCGGGGCTTGGTGGGATCAGCATGACC